GAGGGTTGCGATCCGTTGCCGGACACGGAAAAAAGACAAAAAAAAAAAAAAAAAAAGAAAAGAAAAAGAAAACTAGACAACACCAAATATCTCACATGTTAAGAAATAAGATTTTTGATGGATGTCAACAAGCAATCAATCCCTAAATATTTGAGTATCTTCAATGTGCAACAACAGGCTCTGCCAAGATTCCTATTCTGTTAATGTCCCCTCTACATTTGGACTTTTCTTTCTGTGGCCATATAACTCTCCTCCCCTCCATCCCCAGCATCTGTTTTTATTTTTATTTATTTATTTATTTTCACATGCTGGGTCTAATTCTTGTTTACTTCCCATCAGCACAGCCCACAGCTAAGTCTCACCTTAGGAAAGAAATGTTCAAGCAGTTCCAACCCAACATTATTAAATACATCAACATCAAGTCACTTTTGCCTGTATTCTATAAAGTTCTATTAACTGATCTTCCTTAGTCTGAGTTTTTGTCCTTTTGTACTCCAGTTTGATACCAGAACAACCATTCCTACACTGCAGGTCCCTTTATCTACGTATTTCTAGACTAAGGCCTAGTCCTTGTGCTTTGGTCTCTTTCCAGGAGATTAAATTCTAGGGAGTGAGTTTAGTATCACTTCCTGACTACCTCACAATATCCTCTGTATTATTGTAAAGAGTGGCTCATACCTTAAGATATTCTTAAGGATTGACATGCAATGCCAAGATATAGAAAGTATGCTCAAAGATCTAGAGGATCATGGGGAAACCTACTGGAGAGGCATGAAAGATAAATTGGTAATATTCAGTAACTTATGAGACAAATACAAGAGATATCTCAAGACAGCACATGATAAATTCCACAGAAGTTAACAAGTCATCATAATTTCTATGAGTTTTAGAAAGGAGAGGTGACTGGTTACTAAAAAAGAAGAGGTAGGATTTAAGCTGGGAACTACAACATAAACGGAATTTGGATTAGGGAAAAGAATAGGAAGCAAAGTTACAGAATCCATAAAGCACAAAGCGTGTACAGAGTAGAGCAAGCACAACAGCCTGGCTTGACTCTTACGAGCAAATGTGTAAAACAGAAATAGCATCACATCATAATGAAACATTTCTATTTCAACCATAATTTTAACACTATGATTATATAGCTAAAAAGGAAAACAGGATATACTACTTTTATATATTCAGATGAAAATGTATAGATCAATCAAAGTATCAAATAAATCTTGACATGCTGAATTTTTATCATTAATTTTTAGAATGTAACCTCAGCCAATGAATTGGGTAGAAGAGTAACAATATTATTTTGTTTGTTTGTTTGGGTTTGTTTAACTTTTTCCTCATGGACAATCAAGTAGCATAATTTAATAATATAAGACATACAAAAAAAGTAGTAGTACTTTGGGATTTTAATCCCGGCTCCACCACCTTATTTAAAATTATATAAGTATTTATTTATTGTGATGTTCTACAAAAATTTATTATGAAGGCTCTGTGCTAGACTCTAAGGATATAGCAGTGAGCAACACAGATTAATTAGCTGCCCTCATGGAGCTTACATTAAAAGCTATGGGTCCTTTTGAAGAATACTAAAAGTTTTTGATCCACATTCCCTTCAACTGTAAATCTGGATTAATATTAGTGATCCTATTCAATATATACATAAATTGTTTATAGGCATTTAATAGTGTCTATTAAATGTTAACAGGTCAAAAATCTACCTTTGTCATTATCTGACGTACTTTTATATAACATACCATACTATATGATTTAATTTTCATATTTCAGACACATTTATTTTTAACTGATAGAACAATGTGGTAAAGAAGAAAGGGGCAATAATCTATAGTAATTAGAAGTCCTGGTTTCAACACTTAGCTCCACCATTTTCTAGTTATGTGATCCTAGACAAACATCTGTGTATTAGTTTCTGTTAACTATAAAATAAGGATAAAAATGATTTGAACCATCTACCTATTAGGATGTTGCAAAGAATTGATAATAATTTCAAAACATAAATGTTTAAGAAATACATAAATAAAAGTTAATTTATCTCTATCACATAACATGCTCTGTGTCTAAAAATAACAAACACTTGTTATTTGGAGTTGAGTAGAGACAAGGAGAGCACTAGAAGTCACTCCTTGAGTGGATCAAAATTACCTAAGAATTAATGCACCTTACACAAAATGAATCATTCTTCTCTTTCCCACTACAGGACCAAGATAATAATCTGGAAGTATGTCTGAACAGCATCAGCATACCTCTGCTATTTTGCACAATTCCAGAAGATTTTCAGAGAAAACATGTTTATTAAGAAAAAAATTTCATAACTAAGACTATCAGCTGCAAAGTTGTGTTATCTACATGGGTCTATTTTTAGCTTTTAATGCTTTTACTGGGAACCTGGATTGATGAGTGAAATGGGACAATAAACAAAGAGGCAAAAAAGACAGAAGGAAAGAAGTAAAAATGGCAGGACTGAAAAGAGAGAAAAGAATTAAAGAAAAAAGGAAAAAGAAAAGAGAGCAGGTCTTAACAATGAAGAAACAAAAAAAAAAAATTTCCCTCAGTGTAAGAAAAAATAGATGCAGGGATAAACAAAGCAGATGTGTAAAACAGAACTAAAAAATGCACACATACAAGAGAACAAAAGAAAAAATCAAAGCAATGGTGACAAGATAAAGAGAAAATAGGAAGAAATAAACCTACAGGAAAAATGTCTCAGATAGATGCTTAATCTGTACATGTCATAGGCAAATAAAAGAAATTGTTTAAGAAGAAATAAGAAACAATATACAAAATTGTTTTTTGTTTGCATTTTACATGGACAAGTGAATACTCTTTACGATTTGCATATTTCAAAAGCCTTATACAATTCATTTCTGGAATCTGGATATCAGAGGTAATTTTTTAAAAATTTTAACTGTGTCCTAACGTGGTTGTTGACAGAGTAGACCATATAATAAGAAGTTTAGGACAACAATAGAGAGGAAGATAACATCATGACCCTGATACAGTCATACAAAAGAAAGGGGGTAAAATAAATATAGTAGAACAAACAAGCTATTTACTCATTCCAAATCTAATAACTGGTTTATTTTTCAAATAATATTTTAAATACTGAGATGCTTTCCAGAAATTTAAATATTGTAATCTGCCTAACTTTTGCTTGACTCATTGCATGAAATACTTTGGGTATTCTTGGTCAGGATACATTTTTTGGGGTCTTGAAAATTTATATGGTGCTTTCACTACTGCTTAACTGTCATAACTTACTCAACAGACTGACCTATAATCAAATGTCTTAAATGTTTGAAGTACAATTCCAAAAGGAGAGTGATTATGCCATGAACTAGAAGTATAATGAAGAAAATAAATACTTAGTAATGTATTTCCCTCAAAGGTAGTATGAAATATTGTCTTAATAATCTTTTAAAGTAAATGTAAACAGAGTTCTAGTTGAATAATCTATACAGTAATTTATAAAATGTTAATTTGCCTATGTTTAAGTGCTCTGAATTGCTCACTTCTGAAACACATCAATTTACTATTTTACTTGCCCACTAACCTTCTTGACATGTTTTACTATTAAATTAAACTTCTAGTCTTCCTAAAATGGCTTTGAAAATTGCTCAAATGTGTTTCATATATATAATGCACAGGATGTATATCAAGCAGAATATGTCAAAGTGCAAATAAATTGTTTGTGCCCCCACAGAATTAGAAATCCTTGGGCAGCACTGCTGTAACGATCCCATGCTGCTAGCATTACAAAGTGCAAAGCCTCATTGGGTAAGACAGAGCAAAGGGCATGGTTCCCTTCATTACACTATCTCTGATCTATTTTAGCTTAAATATTTATTAAGATATTAATTACTCTTCCTCTCTCTATTTGCTTTCAGAAGTTAGGCTGACACACACTGGATGGATAGTAGCTCACAGGAAAACAATGCATTATCCAGTAAAACTTACCACCCAAGATGAAGACTTTTTTATACAGTGCATTATTAATTCAGCAGGTAATATGTCATAGAATTATTAGCTACACGTACTCTCTTTCATGGACAACATAACAGCATAAAACTTTAAAGAAACAGCATGTTGGGAAGCTGGATTGGAATATTTTCTTCCTTCTGGATGTACCACAATAAAAGTATTTTAGAAAATTTTCCGTGAAGTAGTGTACTATACAAAAGGAAATAGCATTTGCAGTTGAGACTTCTATAAAATGGCATGATGAAATAGGAATGATGATGTGTTTTATAATTTTGAAAAACAAAACATTTCATCCTAGTAGACAACTATGGGGAGTAAATGGCTAAAAAATTAAAGAATTAACAGTTTCTTTAAAAAAATAAAGTAATTTATATGAAAAAATATAAAGTAAAGAAAATAATGAAGGAAAGTAGTGATCTCACTTACTCTGATATACAATTGCATCATTTCTTTTTCTCTTTGGGGGTTACGATACTTCTCATAGAAATCACGTCGCTTCTTTGTTTCTTTAAAGACTTTATCTTTTCTTTCTCGTTTTTCTGCTGGTTCATCTGAACTATCAGAAGATGACTGTACGTGTATCTTTGGCTTTTCTACTTCAATATAGTTTTCATTGGGATTCAGTACTATTACTCCATATCCTTCCTGTTTTGAAATTAAAAAAAGGCAGCATAATTTAATCTTAGAATCTATTTCAATTCATAAAAAAGTTCCTGAATTTCAGACTAAGTAATCTACTATGGTTGCATATTCACTAAAACATTCCTTTAGGAAAGATTATAGTTTTAATTTTTCTAATAGAAAGTCATTTAAAATTGTTTGCCTCTATTGTGTATGTAAATAAGCATATATTATCTTTAAGAACAGAAAGACATAATTGCAACATAAAGATTATAAAGCTTAAATTTTTTAAAAATGTAATTCAGATCTTCCACAACCCCAGAAATAATTGAAATAAATTATCAAATGACAAGTATAATTTCAAACCACATTAATATAATATATATTTTGAGAAAATAACCTCTTTGAAATTGAAGTGTACAATTCAAACTACAATTTGTTGGATATTTTTCCCTTAACAATTGCCCTTTAATGAGCATTTTTTATCTGAGCAGTAAAAAAGAAAAGGCAATTAAAAAGGAATAAATATAATCTAAAATTTCACAAATTTATATATCTGTATTATCAGTAACATATAATGTTTACCTTGCACCTTAGATTTTATTTACCTCTTTTAAGAGGCCAGACATATAAAACAAAATAAGCCAATGTTTTACTATAATGTATGGAAGCAATTCTTTAATATTGAAATTTCTTTCATTTTTCAAACTACCATAACTATTGCTCTTTATTAAGAACTAGCACCAGGAAACAAGTAAAAGTTCCAAAGTTTAATACAGCTTATTGAGCTATTAATTATGGCTTCTTAAGTTTATAAAACATATGTTTTCCTGTCTGATTTATTTCTGGCAAGGCAAACATTTCTATGTTTATAATTAAGGGAACTTTTGATATTTATACTATAACTGATAGAATAACTTAACCATGAGAAAATAGAGAAGGTTAACAATAACCACTCACAAGCATGTGCAACACAAATTTTTGAAGCTATTATATATCTTGTCTTTTCAATTCTGTATTGTGGGTGTCCCAATTATGTCCTTGTAAAACACTGTAAGGCCATATTTAAAAGATATTATGATAAAAAACATAAAAGCTATAGAAAATAAAGCCTATAAAATCTCATCCTTTAAAAACAGTAAATATTTTTTCAATACTCTAACTGTACGATCTTCTACTTGAAGGTTAAAATTTAATTTTTTTTTGCCAAACCAATCATAAAAATATGATAAAACCGATAGCAGCAATAATAAATCAATATTAGCATGGACTTAATTATCTTATTTTTAAATATGGTACATTGCTTCACATGGTCGGGTTTTTTTATAGTTGATTTCACAAACTACTTACAAACTTCACTGGGATTGTTTCAATTTTTTTCCCCCAGTAAGATGATATTATCGTCTAAAACCATGATTTCGTTTGGAAAATTTCAAGATTACTGAAGTTCTGCTTTTAGTGATAAATCTATTAATTAAGATAAAGTCATCTTACATATGTGAAAATTATACATGAAACTGATTAACAAAATACTACATTTCTTCAACAAATGTTTAAATAAAATTTTTAGATAAACGCTTCTTTCATGAAAGGCTTATAAAATACAGAAATTTTAATTTAAACATTCTACATCAAAGCACGAGAGATTTTTTTTTAAGTTTCTTAGTTGTTAAGTCAAAAGTTTTACCAACAAAAGATATTTTATTTGGTCCTGCTTTATTCTAATCTGTATAGCTATTCAAAAGTCTTGTAATTCATTGTGATCACTGTCAGGTAGACAGATTGTCACTTGGTGATTTTCTACAGTTGGACACACTTGACTAGTTATTAAAATCACATTTAAAGGAAGTGCCTACCCCTCTTCCTTGTGTCTCTTACAACTTTTCACGCCTTTCTCAAATTTCATCTATAACTTCTCCTCCCACTAAAAGTAAGTTAAAGAACACTGTTGCACTCTGCTAAACAGGGTGAAATAGAGGCATTCAGTACACGGTCTATGGTGTAAGGAACATAGTCAAAAAAGGTCACCATAGGCCAAAAAGAAAATTGCCTCCTTGCTAGATTCTGTACCGTGAGTAAGTGGTCTCCTGTCATGTTTCTTCCCTGCCCCTGCCTTCTCTGAGTGAATTGAACATTAAACACACACACACACACACACACACACACACACACAGCCTCTCATATTCACACACATGTTAGAGTTAGCAAGCCCCAAATGAAATTTTACGATTCTTAGAGATTAAAATAGTGATGTACTACATTTTAATGATAATACGAAAAACTCTAGACTCAAGGTAACAGTGGGATTTTAATAAATTAATATAACATGTGCATCATTTTTGCACAATGAATTAATTCCAAATAAAGGTAAATGCTTTGAACAAATTTTACAGTCATCAGAATTATGAAACTGTTATCCTAATTTATAGCTTAATCACTAAAAATAATATTTTCTTAATATCAGGCTTATTTGAGCAGTTTTTACTTCAATTTTTAGATACCACAGACTGAAAACTTATTGTGTCTACTTGATTTTAAATATACTCTAAAATTTGATGTGTCCCATCTAAATAAGTATAAAAAATTGATACACATAAATCATCAAAGAAGAAGTATTTTTCTGGGTTATTGATTATGTAACTGGAAATCACATGACTCATTTGTTCAATTTTATAAAGGCACAATGTCAATTTTTCACTGAAGCATCAATGGATGAAAAATGATTCTATTTTTAAATCACCATTATATAAATCAATTAAATAATTTTTATCATTTAGATTTCAACAATGAACGTTTCTCTTCAAACACCTGAATTATTTAGAAAATATTTTATCCTTTAGGTATTTCAGAATGCCAATTTAATTAATGTAATAATAATCAAGAAATATTCAGAAACATTTTCTGCAGAAATGAGAACTGATTTCAATAAATGTCTTTGTTGCAAATTCAATTACCGTTCTGTAAAAAACTAAGATGTTTTTCAATTAAATTTTTTCTAATAAATTAATTAATGCAACATTCACAGAGACCATTCATAACCATTTTACAATGAGTAGGAGAAATCAAGAGAAACAAAACGAAGTTAACTACTTCTCTTACATGTTCTAACCACAGATACACAGTAAAACTTCTCCTTCTTCTCTGTCATATATAATACTGTCCAAAAAAATCCCTTTAATAAGGTACAAAGATTTTTGCCATGTCAACATGAATATATGAAAACTAGGGAGTCAAAGCAAGTAAAGAAAAACAAAGCAGAAACAAAATATCAGTAGTTAACTTTATTTTGAATAGAATAATGTCAACTTACATCTTCAAAAATCAGAATACCATTTTAAAAAGTAATTCTTTCTATTCTCAGTAACTCAATAAGTATAGAACAAAATAAGTAAAAAGAGATTCTAGTGTGACCTTTAATGAACGTACCCATAAAGTTTTACAAAACTACACTATAAAATCAGGCATGAGTATAATACCATAAAAAAAGACTGTGTGCATTGCTACTTTAATAAGGAAGCTTCCATAACTTATACTTAGAACTTAAACATTTTATATTAAAATATTCCTTTTGTATTAAATTATTACTTAAGCATGCTAAATTTCTCATAAGATGAAAAGTTAGGTCATTTCAAACATAAATGAAAACCTCTTCTATCTTTAAAAACATAAAATGATCAAACTGATTATCTAACATTCTACAACTAAATAAATAAAACTGGCATCTTTTATAATGATTTACCCAAATCAATTCCAATATCCAACATTTCAAGAGACAAAGCATACATAAAGTTGTTAATTAACTCTTAAGTTTGATTGCATAGTCTAGTAGAAGATGAAGAAAGTGATCATGAGGACAGATACTGATAAAAGTAAGCTTTATCTCTTTAATTCATCTCATTCCATTTTCTGTACTTTTGTAGCTGTAACTGTAGTTTCATTTCAGACCTGTGTTTATATGGTACGAGCTATTGGATCTTAATCAGAAACCTGCAAAAGTTTATTGCTAGACATAGAATTTTATTCAGTGCAAGTACTTGCTGTGATTTAAATAGAATACACAGGCCTCCAGGCCATCTTTACTTTGAAGTCTATAGATGCATTTACTAATAAATAATAGTTCATTTATTATTCAATCAACAAATGATGGCTTAGGTCAGAGAGGTCTAAACAGACAGGTGATGCCAAACACAAAGAACCAAAGAGGAAACCTAGCTAGAAAAAAATAAATCAGCACAGAAATGTACATACGGTTCTGCAAGTACTCATTGATAAACTTAAAAATGCCTCACCCAAATTAGACTGTACTTTTGACCCCGAATGAAACCTTGCTAAAACTGAAGATTTATCAAAGTTAATTTGCCCATTAATTACCAATTATAAGGAAAATAGGGACAAATTCTACATCTTTTCAAATCTCTTGTGGTTGGCTAAATAAAAAATCAGCTGAATGTACTCAGCTCTGCATATTAACCTGCCAGTGCTGCAAGCCACATGTGACCAGAGAGGTCAGGGGCCAGAGCAGAATCCCTTGACCTATGGAACTATCCATTTTGTTCTTCAGGCAAGGCTCTGTAAGAGATCATTTTACACAGATTTATCAGTAATATTTTTCAAGTTCAGCATTCTATCTGCTTGGTTTGATAGAAGATAGGTGCTCATCCTCAAGGGAAATGAAACCCAAAGTGTTATCTGTAAACTACATCTACCCATGGTTAAAATGGACAAACCCTGTCCATTCATCTTTTCTGAAAGATATATGTCGTGTTTATTCTCATCTTTTTCACAAGAAGGGTATGTATATGTCACTGTTGCAACATCCTAGGTGCAACAGTGAGATGAGGTCATGACAACCAATCAGAAGTCACTAGTGAAGCGTTAAAGTAAACATAGCTGTTGGAGCTGCAGCTCTGCTTGAAAAATGCCCCCTCCATTATTTCAGCAATTTTCTCAAGATGTGACCTGGGACTGAAACGCTTGAAATGTCACTTGACTCTGTTTTGTACTGCTTCTCTATGTGCATTTAG